ATATTATTTACCCAAACAACGTTAGGTAACTATGGTTATTCCTAACAACTGTGTTATCCTTTTACCATGAATGTTTTGATTCAGATTTCATACAGCTGCATTAGTTCAACTTTCTCCTCTTAATGTGGGATTACAACCTCCAAACCAATGAATAACTATTATGTGACTAGGGCCAGATTTAAGTAAAGGTTTTAGAAATTAACTTGTGCTCTTGGAAGAAAGGTGGCATGTATATCTAATAAATAAATAACCACATAAACAGCTGAATGTTCAATAGCATGCAACCTATGCCGCCCGAGTAAAAGCAGGAAATTGGTATATGAGCATGGTCTCTCCTTTATGGTAGGCAGATCAAATATTATTCATCCAGCCATTATTTCTGGAGTAAACCTGGGTTTCTCCAGGATTCAAGATAGTGGTACTTTGTAACTGGGAAGACAGGCTTTACCTATTCCTAACCACCAGGGTCATTTGAGTTGGGTGATGTACTTGAAATCAATCCATCAATCGATGAAAACACAATTATTAAGAAAAACGTGGCTGCTGAAGTATTGCAGGTCACCTACAGGATAGCAACTATCTTGGGAATGATAGCCACAAGCCTCAGCATTTCCTCCATACAACTATGCCCTGAATAGTGGAAAAGCAAAGAAACCACACACCCCCCCCCCCAAGAACCAATGAAACACGGAAGGAAAAGTGATGAGAAAAGAGACGGGGAGCATCAACCAGCACATCTCCCTACTTCAGAAGCTTTTCTCTCCCTTTTAAGCAACTTGAACATCCCATCTTCCTAGCTGCAGGGCACAGCTCTTCCTTCCAAATGTGAACACTATTATGGCTATCTGACAGCCTCCAAAAGCAAACTTTTTATTCCTTTTATTGCACCTGAATAAAATGCCTGACTTTTCAATGACACAGTAACATTTTCACACACAAAGTGCCAAGGGAAAATCGGAAAGAAAGAATTACAGCGTAATCCATAGCACAGTGAACTTTCTTCTTACCTCATTGATGCGGATCTGCTGAAGCTCTTGTTCGGCTGCGGTCAGAGGAGCTGGAGCAGAGGAAGAAGACACATGCTTCTGGTAGCCACTGAGTGAGATGTCTTCCTGTGGTTCAACAGAAAAGCAACCGCGGGAAAAACATGAAACTGCTTCAAAGTGGAACACAGGGTACATTCATAAAATGGCTGCCTTAATTGGTTTGGTTAGCCACAAAAGTGCCAACCAATGCAAACTGGCAAAGTTGTTCTTTACAACCTCCTCTAACCTTGCAAAACATTGATCTCAGTTCTTCTTTTTACTTAAAAAGTGTAGGGAAGAGCTCCAAAAAGAAAAAAAAAGACTGAGCTGAAGCTCTATAATTTTTACTTTGTAAGAAGGCATTTGGGAGCTCTACGAGGACCAAGAGGCCTTCTCTGAAGTACAGATTATGCTTGAGGTTGGCGCTCTGTAACACTAGTTTTCCCATTCAGTTTTAAAAATTAAAGCATCTTTTAAAAATTAGATGAAAGTAGGGAGTCCGGGGAACACTGAAGGAAAGTCATTGTAAGTCATGGTACCACTTAGACTTGCATTCTATAGCAGCCAATGTGCCATGACACATTTCTCAACCAATCTTCTTAAACGAATCTCCACTTGCTGAGGTCATCTGAGGTGATTTCCCTACGGCTGCTTCAAGATTGCCTTTATCCACTCAGGGTTGGGCCTTGACACTGCCCAGATTTGAAGCTTCAGCTGACCCAAAACTGGGAGGCCAAATTGATTATCAGAAGAATGTGAAGAAATCATATTACAGTTGTGTTTATTGCACTGCACTGGTGCTAACTTGTTTCTGGACTAAATACAAATTGCTGGTCATTACTTTAAAATTCTCCATGGCAATAGAGATCTGAAAGAATATCACTTTCAAGCTATTCCTCCATACTTCCTGAGAGTACCTGAGAGGTTCACCTTAAGGGTCAAGGGACTTGACTGGTGGTAACACAAATATTATAAAGATGAATTTTAATGTCCTTCTCTATTGCTGCTCTACATTGTTGAAATGCATTCCCTTTAGAGATGAGCAGTCCAACACATTTATTAGCTTTTATAAAAAAAGTCCTCAGAATGCATCTTTATGTCTTGTCACTGTTGATTGAATGTTCATTTTATTAATTTTACTGGTTTTAGTTCTTTTTATGGGTTTTAACGCTTTGATTTTACACCAAGAAGACTTCAGTGATCCAGAGGCCTATTAAGTTCAGTAAATAAGCAATAACAAAACAATTCTAGTAGATGGTGGATCTTGGATAGCTGCTTTAGGATTTCACAAATCATACTGAATGATAGAGCTTTGCAGAGAGTCATCCAGAAGATTTCATTTATAGTACTGTATAATCTAATATCATTTTATGTACAACACTGCCCCCTTCTGGCACTTTCAAAAACATTCCAGGTCTGTAAGCATTTTTGCTGTTTAGCTAGTCAAATTTTACACAAAATACAAAGCGTTTAGATAATCATTAACTGCTAGTTAACAGCCAGACTTATGCTAATGCACAATATGAAACTCTCCCTTTCTTTGTGTCATATTAAGACTGTATTTCAATTTGGAGGAAAGAGAGTAGGGCATATGTTCAATGCAATGCATGCATTCTTATTTCTGCCTCCCAATTTAGTGAATTATTATAGTCAGCAAAGCAGTCTGAAGACTTTGGGACCAGACTTCCTCTGAAGTGAATGTTATAAACAAACAAAATAACTGAGAAAGAACAAAAGAAAAGCAGGCTAGAGACAAGCAATCTTCCACAGGATAGAAGTGGTCACCTCTGCTCTTATGGCACAAACAGACCACCTTGTGCACATCTTTACCTATCTTATGTCAATGTCTTAAGTCAAATCCCTGCACTCATTTTATCAGGGTTCAAACTGAGCATATACTGCAAGGGTGAATCAGACAGAACCTCTATTTAACCTTCATATAGCAAAACAGAAGACACAGCTTCAGTTCTTTTTTTCCCCTATGCAGTCAGAATCCCTGCAATCTTAAAGCAAGCACTTCAAGATGAGTAGATGATAAATTGTAATCTGGCTTTTAGAAGCAGGACTCCAAACTTTAACAGTTGTAACTCTAATTGTTCTGATCTCAGTGGATATGACCAACCGCCATACCTTTACTGTCCCAAAGAGTTCATCCTTAATGTGTCCTCCTCCAAACTCTTTCTTTACCGTCGCTCGGGTTGCTGCGTAGAGCATCTTGAGTCTAACCTTGTTGCACAGAGAGAAAGAGAAGAGAATATGAACTATAAGAAGACATTCACGGCCGCTGACTACCAGAAGTCCAGTTCACAGTGACTAAAAAAAAAGTTGCAGGATTATTTATTATTATTTATCTGAAACCCATCAGAAAGGACCTTTCATGTTTGGAATTACAGGGTCTTTTACAAACCAATATTTATATCAAAATGAATTTGTTAGCTCCATCTTCCCCAGAAGCACCTTCTGGATGTGTTGAATAGCTCCTAGAATTCCCCAAACATGATGGCCATGCTGAAAATTCTGAGCTGAAATTCATGCAACTAGAGGTTTTTTCCCCAAGACTGACAAAAGCTATGGTAGCTTTTGAATAATCACAGATTGCTTAATCCATTATAACAAAAACTAAACATTAACAACTCTTTGTGACAAGGTTTGTAGTGCTCAATTTTGTCCATGTACATCTTTAAGACTGAATACTAATATAAATGGAAGGGAAGTATTTTTCTTTCACTCCGATTTCATTAAGTAAATAGGCCTTCAAGTCAGCTCCTGATGACTCCATGGAAGGTCCATGTAGTTTTCTTGGCAGTTTAACCTGAAACCTTGGGATTTCCTGGTGATCTCTCTCCAAGTACTAATGAGGCCTGCTCTTTCCTTGATTCAGAGATTAGAGAAACTTGGTTACATGCTGCAACATACCTGGGCAAACTTCATTATTTCTCATAGAGACGTAATCCAATTTGTTGGATGGACAGCATCATTTTGTAGACTTGTGAAACAAAGGGCTGCATGTGAACATCATTCAGAAGCTGCTGCTGATCCAGAAGGTAGCATGACAATAATGGGAATATAGGACTCCTGTTATGTAAGCTGCACTGGTTGCAAGTTGCCTTCATACGCAATTCAAGCAAAAAGCCTAGCTATCGGTATTTGAGGAACCAACTTCTGGATGTGTTGAATAGCTCCTAGAATTCCCCAAACATGATGGCCATGCTGAAAATTCTGAGCTGAAATTCATACAACTAGAGGTTTTTTCCCCAAGACTGACAAAATCTGCAAAGTCCTGCAAAATCTGCTTTGCTGTGCTCACCAATGCAGTGGCCTTGGCTTGTTTCAGGTCCCATCAATGTCACCTAGCAGGTCTTTTCTGTCACTGCATTTCCCTTTGGGAAAAATCATCTTCCAAAGATTGGCATGTCTTCCCCACTGGCTTGTCTTCAACTCTTCTCTAAAAACTGGCTCTTCTCCCAGGCCGAAAGTTAAGATGATTGCAATGGCCTCTTTACCCCAGATCTAGAAGGATTGTTTGAACAGTTATTGTTTTATGGATATTGTTTTTGTGGAATTGTTCTTTTAATTTTGTGAAGGCACCCAGAGTGATTAGAAGTTGGGTGGCCTTGAAATTTAATAAACAAATAATGTAGTCTTTATTGATTTAGTGACTTCTAGGGATGTTGGGAGTTTAATTTTCATAATCAGCTAGTAAGATTGGGTAAAACAGCTCACATCTGAATGGTTTTCAAATTCAGAATGCCCTGTTTCAAAGTTGAAAACAGTTGCATCACATCAGAAACAATCTGCTTCAAACATCTGGGGAAAGTTCTAAGTTCCCAGTGACCTACTGAGCTCCAAGCCTCTTCAGTTATGATTGAAGGAGCCTGCACTGAATGAGAAATACCTGTTCCACATTTGCAACAACTGCTTCTAAACCAAGCAGCTTTGCATAGGTGATTACCATGGTCAAACTCTATGCTGACTGGAGATTATGGGAATCATGAACACCTGGAAAGTTTCTGGCTGGCAATGAAGAAACTATAAACAGATAGAAGGCACCTGCAACCATTGGTGGTTTTGGATTGGAAAAGGGAAGTAGAGCAACCTCATTGCTTCTGAAAAGCACTTTGCATACCTTTTATCCTTCAGCTTACCATCTAAACTAACTAGCAGGAACCGGATGTTTTTCACCTGCATTCTGTCAATAGGAATAAGTTGAAAGCTTACAGGAGAGTTGTCAGGTGACCAGGAGATGAAAAGCCACTCATAGCCCTGTGCATTTTGGGTATCCAGGCGGTAAAGGATGTAGCATGGTTGCAGTTCATCTAGCAGAGGAAGCACAAAGGAATCGTAGTCCTTATCCCAGCGCCGAGATAATTCCTTGGAGGCTCCAAGCACTAACTGCTCTGGAAGTCAAGGCAGGATGAGAGGAGAAAGAATTAGTGAGTAAGCAAAGGAGACATTGCACTTGATAATCACTACACTTCTGATCTTTATTTAAAATTAGGATGGAGAACCTGAAGCCATCCTCCCATCTGCCATAGACAATTTATTTAGTGGTGAAGGATGATGGGAGTAAACAATATTTATAGGGAAACAGATCATCTCTCTTTATTCTGAGTAAAGGCTGGAGCACTACAGACCCCGAGACAATGGGGAACAATTCTTGTTTCTTGTTAGGACTGTGGGTTTCATTCTCTGTGGTAGCCCCCAGATTTTGAAATGTGTTTCCTGTAGAGAGATGTTAAACCCACTTTTCCTGCATTTCACAAGATAATCAGACCGTGTTTATGTTGTGTATGCATGGATCAAAACAATCCAATCTTTATTACGATCATAGGCAGCGTAGTGTGTGTGTGTGTGTGTGTGTGTGTTATTTTTTTACTGTTAATGTTCTGATTTAATTTTGATTCTTGCTTTGATGTTTGACTGCTTGGGAACAGAGCAGGGTTTGTTAGTCAAACTTACTGCCAGTTTTCTTGGCATAAAACTTTAATGTGCATGTTAATGAAAAAAGAATGAGGTCGGCCAAGAGGACACCAGTACAATGTACTTAATGAGATAGACGTTAAGGGAATGACTATAAAACAATCTGTCATTACTCTCCCAACAGCTTTAGCCCCATGAGTCCTGAGACTTCAATGTTCAGGCTGCGCTCTCGTGAAAATATGGACTTCTCCCTAAAGCTGCTAAGTCAACATGATGACACCATGGTTGGCTTTTGCCTTAGAATAGATTCTGCCTCTGCTCTTGATAGAACCCAGCAGCTCTCCTCCTCAGTTGGTTCTTACATGTGTGAAGAACAGTCTAAAGCAGAGGTCTCCAACCTTGGCAACTTTAAGACTTGTGGACTTCAATTCCCAGAATTCTCCAGCCAGCATAGCTGGCTGGAGAATTCTGGGAGTTGAAGTCCACAAGTCTTAAAGTT